TGAAGTGTAAAGAACATGTATTTCAATTAATGCAAATCTTCATTGTTTTAAGAAATTCAAACGGGTTGGAATGTCATCGAAGAGCTGGCCAAGGAAAAGTTTGATCAATCTAGAGTTTGATTATGTTCCATAGAAGAAGATTATTGAACGTTCGATTGTGTTCGATTGGCAATATGTTTTGGTGAGTTTGATTATGTTCGATTATCGAACCTGATCCAAATCAATTGAACGATTTGGGTTAGTTTACTGAACGTTCGATTGACTACGCCGGGAATATTAGCAATCCATACTGTTTACAGTATTGTGTCAGTGTTTCTTTTTTCTCAGCTAACAAAACATGCTTTATTGTAAAGAGAAAAAACAAACAGTGTCTTCTGTACAAAGTCCAGTAACTGTACAATTTTTATCCTACTATGAGTGTTTAAGAAAAGGAAAAGCAAACAGCTAGCTATGTACTAGTCTCCTACGCAGCCGTTATTTGTGTTGCCACGCAACGCTTCTCCCAACTAACGGCTGCTCAAACCTGGACCACATTCCTTTTGTTTTGACCGCAGTAACTTTGACACCTATCGGCAAAAACGTGACTGTTACCGTTTGCTGAAAACCTGCTAGATCGATCCAATTCTTGAACTAGGATGTCTGTTGTAATTATAATGAAGTTTTTGCGACATTATTTTTTCATATCATACATTTTTCATCAGTAAAACCGTGTTTTATTTTGATATCTGGCGTGCATCAAATTCAAAAGGCGGCATACTGGCGTGCGTTTGACGTTTCCGACGCTAAGGTCATGATAAGACACAATCTATGATTGGTGTATTTTGGCGGGAGCAAGTTCCGAAAATGGCACTGCAACTGTGATTGGCTTAAATCTGCAAAGGAATGTGGTCCAGGTTTGAGCAGCCGTTAGTGGGGAGAAGCATTGCGTGACGACACAAATAACGACTGCGTAGGAGACTAGCTATGTACTAACAAATACTGAATCTACAATTATTGATCAACATCATAATTACTACCGTTCGAGATATGGGGTGTTAATTTAGGCCATGGGAATTCGCACTTTGTTCGAAATAGCGGGGATTCGAGATAATGGAGTTCGAGAAGGCAATAGTAAAAAAAATTAATGACTGAAAAACAGTAAGCAAAACCAAGGGAAACAGATTTTAGTTTAGTTTAGTTTATTAATTTAACCACACAAAAATAGAAAAAATTACAATAATAGAAAATAGTATGAAAAATTTTAGTTTGAGATAGCTGGGGTTCGAGATAGCGGGGTCTACTGTATTACATTTCTGTGTAAGATCAAAATAATAGACCTTTCTCCAAAGTGGCCGCCGCAAATTCAAAATGATTAAAATTAAACTGAGCGAAAAATCAATACCAGCACTTGAAAGACCACCTCTTGTTTGGTAATTGTGCAAAGTTTCTTTAGGTTTGGTTCTACCTGAGTCAAGAAAACGGAAGTTGAAAACTGGAAAAATTAGAGACATTTGTATGACTGGGAGTATATGCCATATGCCATTTCATTGCATGAAATTAAAGATACAATAGTTACAGTCAAACCTCCACAACGACACCTCCCGTAGGCGGACACTTGGTCATGTTCCCACTGAGCTATATACAAACACTACATACAGCTGTTTTGAGAAACGTTGTCGGAAAAAAGCACACGCGACAATCCCGAAAGGTAATCTGGGATACAGATCAGCAAGGTACGTTCCTGACACTGTAGCTGTCGAACCTACTTCTGTTGCTTTCTTTTAGCACTCGCAAGCATACTTCCATGGCGTCTCTTGCCATTTTCTCAGATATTTTCCTTGAAATGCTGAAGTCAAGGAACCGTGAACTTAAAACTACCCACAATACCTTTCGGGATTGTCGCGTGCGCTTTTTCCGACAACCTTTCTCAAAACAGCTGTAAGCGGACACCTCTCTTAAGCGGAGACTTTTTCTGGTCCCGAGGGTGTTCGCTTAGGAGGTTCAACTGTATTTGTTAACAGTTACCAAGGAAGCTTCCACTTCTTCGTATTCTAAATAATAAATTGTCAGCAGACTGTTCAGAATATTCCTTGACGTACATGCTTCAGATGCAACATTGGTGACGATTCTGGGAATGTCCGTGTACTCGACATACGCTTATTTACCTGCTTATATCCACAATGTCCTGGTATACTTTGGTTATATTGAAGATTCATCATAGTCTGGTGGCTTTGTCATAGTGGCGGAAGGGATGCTTAGAGGATTTTTGCTGTTTATTCTCAAGTAAAGACTTGTTATCGAAGATCAACATTGTACAGTTCAGTTTTAATATGCTACTCCATGGATATTGAAGTCTATTGAAAGACAGGAGCTATCGCAATATTATAATCACAAACAATGTACACAAGATGCGAACCTCAAAGGATTTTTTTTATTTCTTTAAAGTAATAATGATAAAAAAAATAGTATTGTCGTATGTAAGATTTGAATATGTTAAACTTGCATAAAATAAAGTACATTTATCGCTCGCTGTATGTGACTAAAGTTATGAATTGTAATTGTAACAGTACTGTAGTGTTTGGGCAAGACATGGTGGCTAATTCATGCTCTAAAATTTCCATTACAGTAAACACCCATGTATAAGAACCTAGTAATTAAGAACCTGTAGGCTAAAATGTTTGCATTTAAACCCCCATTATATAAGAACCTGTTGAGCCTAAAAATTGAAACAGGTTCTTATAAAACTGTTTTTATATGGCAGTCCGAATGTGCAGAATCTCTTGTAATTTCAATATAAAAATTTGATATACTGTACAGTACATAAATAATTGCCTCGGCTGATTATAGATTTATAGTTCCAGTGAGTACACAGGGGCACCCAACGGATCGTTTCAGTGAAATATTTGTTCGGAAGGCCTATAATCGCCTCAGATATTCGGATTAAAGTTTGGAGTTATCATCTCAAACTTTCTTATATGGGAAAATTAATGCCTATTATTTTCGGAGAGATAAAAATTTCGTTTTGGGTACAAAAAAAGGTCAGCTAGGATTTTCGGAAAGGAAAAATGGTCAGTTAGGATTTTCGGAAAGGAAAAATCAGCAAGGAAGAGCTAAGGTTTTCGGGAAATGACTAAAAAATCCCTAATAAATTCGTGAAGTCTAAAGTTCTCCTAGAATGACCGAACATATATAAATTTTATAGCGCAGCTTAGAATTCATTTATAGATCTTTAACTAGCACACCAGAGAGCCTAAAATAGTGTTTAAAGCATTTGGGAGAAAAGCGTCGTTGGGTGCCCCTGAGTACAGTAGACTCGCTATCAATAACAGTAACAGTTACCAACCAGTTCACAAGTATGATTTCTGTTCCAGCGGGAACAGGAAGGGACCACACCCATATAGATTAGTTGTTGGACCAGCAGCAAGCACCTTTTCCTCTTAGAAAATAAGAACCTATTAACCCTTTCACACCCAGAGTGAAACCTTGAGTCAATAAATGTGGTTGTAGCTTTTAAGTCTGTGGATGAAACCCTAGTGTACTTTCATGTGGTGCTGTTTGTTTTTGATAATGATATTCAAGATTTTTAACTCAGTTTTGAACTTAGCACTCTTGGGAGTGAAAGGGTTGAACCTAAATAGCCTAAATTCTCTGAGACACCCAATGTATAAGAACCGTTTTAGGCTAACTTGGGAAAATCTTGGTTCTTATACGTGGGTGTTTACTGTATTCCAGTTCCAAAATTACATTATTCCAGGGAAATGTTACTATCGATGATTATTCCAATTCCGTTATTCCAGAAAAACCAAGGCCATTATTCCACTGCAAAAATTTCCCTTATTCTTATTTCATTATTCCCCTTCTCTCTTCAGCGCCCGATAGTCTGGATAGTGTGTGACCAGCTGGGAAAGAACCGTCAGAGCTAGAACTGCTAGGCTAGAGTGGGATGATGGTATTTTTTGTTAGATGAGTGTTTAGAAGCGAGGGGCTATTAACCCTTTCACTGACAGAGTCAAACCTTGAGTCCATAAATGTGTTTGTAACTTCATGTGAGTCTGTGGATAAAACCCCAGTGTGTGACCATTCAAATGGAAGCTATTGAGCAGTACTTTCAAGTGGTGCCGTTTGTTTTTTACAATTGTGCAAAATGAAATTCAAGATTTTTTTTCTCAATTCTGAACTTAGCACTCTTAAGCTTGGGATTTCTTCCAGTAACTTTGGAATCACAGACGATGTGTGACAATATTGATATGCAGCATTCTCAAATTTTATTTCTGATTTCTTCAGTATGTAATATTAAAGCTGCATACTCTACAATAATATCAATAAATAAACAAACGAAAATATACATGAAAAACTGCGCACGTAAATCATAGTGAAAATACAAACACATTTTAAAATTAGCCTGCGTGCAGGAAATAAATAGGAGACGTCTGCACGCAGGCTATTTAAAATTTGATCAGTTTTGACAGTAACTGGCTCAGTCAGAAAATCACGGGTATCCAGAGAAATAATACATTGATTGTGTAATGGATCAAGGTCTTCACAGGTACAGTTTAACGTCTGGAAAAAGAGAGAGAGAGAAAGGAAAATTAGTACAGAAACATCCTTCCACTTTCCATTGCTAAGCCTCAATTATTCTGTTCCAGGCTCCCGGCTTAGTCCCCACTCCTTTTTAACTCGTGAATGCGAAAGCAATGAACGAGTTATAGCATTTGGTGGACAAATTTCACTCGCTCGGTCAGTCGATGGGCTGTAAATTTTTATCGCGCTATTAATTTATGTATATCTATTACATGAAATTTTTGCGACACGTTAATTTGCGTGAATTTGGAGTGGCCAGACCAGCTAGAATAATACTTATCGAAGGAAAAAGCCCTGAAAAAAGTATTTCGAGGGCACGTGATCTATAAAACGCATTTCATAGCCCAAATGTGAGCCTGGTGACAAATAACTAAGATGGTAAATTATAAGGTCGGTAAATGAAATGAGAAATAGTCGCTCGTGGGACAGAAAAAAATCTAAGTCCCCGACACAGGAGTCGAACCCATGACCTTCCGCACACCGATCGGATGCTCAAACGTACCACTGAGCTACAAGAGACTCGTGGTGAGTTTGGTCATTTACTAGGTTCGACTGACTCCCGTCGGGACTAAGATTTTTTCTTTGTAGCACGCTCGTGACAAACTGAAATAACATATTTCTCAAATAACTAAGTACTTTCTCGTATTCAGTACTCACCTAAAGTATTTGTAAGCGGCATATAAGCCAATCGCAGCAACACCGCATCCCATTGCTATCTTACAATAGCTCCATCTCCTTGTAATTGCAGGATCACTGACTCTCTGCTCCTCTAAGATATTTCTTTCCTCAGATACTTCGGAGGAAATTTCAGGAGGTGGCAAGGCTCGTCGATGACTAACAACTGAAAGAAATGAGATTCCATTTGAACCCTATTGAGGCTGGTGGGAGACGCGGTGGCCTAATAATGGTTAGCGCGCTGGACTTCGGACCGAGCAGTTCGGGTTCGAGCCCTGGCCGGAGTGACTGTGTTGTGTTCTTGCGCAGGACACTTTACTCTCACAGTGCCTCTCTCCACCCAGGATCGAGTATAAATGAGTACTGGCGACAACATGCTGGGGGTAACCTGCGATGGACTGGCATCCCATCCAGGGGAGTAGCAATACCCCTAGTCGCTTCATGCTAGGCTCGTGTTGGCACCGCAACAGAATAGCATTTCCGAGCCTTTATATGTCAAAATGTTCTTGGGGGGGGGGGGGGCATGCCCCCAGACCTCCCTAGAGGCTCGCGCCAGCCAACTATCATCGTGACCTCGGGCTTAAAGGGAAAAATTTGCTGGCTACGCCCTTCAGGCAGACTAGACTCAAATCATGAGGAATTTCTGACTTACCATGTCCTTTCATGATAAAGGATTTCAATTCGTTCTGCAGTTCATCCGCCACTGTGCCATTCAAGATATCATCAACTGTATAAATTGGTCCAGGCTTGAAGGAGCTCAATCTTAAATCGATACGCACTGAAACAAGATGAAATTCAAATTACGCCGATGACTCACATGTTTCTATATATAGCTTGAGAGGATTTTGTTGATTTTTATTTCTTCTGTTGATTGAAATAGGAAAAAATAGGGACATTGCGTAATATTTTGCAGCTGAGCCGAAAAGCACAAAACGGCGGGAACCACAACAGAAGGGGCGGGACTGGGAGTACAAGGTACGGGAAGCGGGAAGTTTAGACACCCCTTCCCTTCCCTCCCCTCCCCTCCCCCCCCCCCCCCCCCTCCCCACTATAGTAAGCGCGTTGGACTCGAGATTGAGAGATCAGAGTTTAAACCATTGCCGGGATCCTCCTTGTGTTGTGTTCTTGAGCAAGACACTTGACTCCAGCCCCACCCAGGAGGAAATGGGTACCGCCAGGCGAACTGTTTGGGAAACCTGACAAAAAACCATAGAAAACGTAGCATCTCATCCAGCTTCCCCCGGACTTCCCGGAATCCCCGGAATCCCCGGTATCGCCGGGATCCCTGGACTTCCCAGATTCCCACTTCGAATGCGCGCCATTTTGAATATCATTCATGCGAAACGTGACGTCATACTGGCGTGATGTCTCTACCAATGTTTTCCTTGGAGAGGCCCCCTCCCTCCTTCCCGGACTCCAGAGTTCAGCCGTTTTGTTGTATAGACACAAGACTATGAAAAATGAAGACACCATTTTACTATATTATATTTGTAATAAACCTATCTGTAAAAAATGCAGCCAATAAAGTTTACACACTCACGCTTGTCATGGAGAATGAACCAAACCAACATTTCCAGCACACAGCTCTTCAGAGCGACCAGGGTACCTTTAAAGTCTGCTTTCTCATGGCCAAGACGTTCACAAGGCTTCACAAATACGCTACGTGCCATGTTATCTAGTATATCTTCTACACGAAAAAACAGAATAACAAAAACGAATTATATCTTCCTTCCGCAGTTCAATAAGCTTATATGATTTTTTGTATATTCTCATTCATTTAGTTCAGGGGCGGATTTAGGGGAGGGGCCGACGGGGCCGCGGGCCCCCTTTTGTCTGTTTTTTTTTTTTAAACAAAGTCTATCGGATGGTATTTTGCAATCCGGGTTTTGTTTTATTTTCAGTGCTTTTGCTTTCGTTACTTGAGATATATATTTCTTCAATATATTTTTCTTTTTTTTAAGCGCCCAAAATGCACCAGATTGCAACTCAGAATCAACATTTTCCAGGGGAGCATGCCCCCGGACCCCCCTTGAAAGGCACGTTGAAGCGCGCTCAATGGGCGCTAACACGCCAAGATTGGTTCTCATATACGGCCCCCTCTTTCTAAAATTCCTGTATCCGCCTCTGTAGTTTTCCATCTACTGGTATAATACGAACTCACAAAATGACCAGCTCCCAGCGGGCTTGATAGACCTTTATAGCTTGAGTTATAAAAAAAGAGCATTGTACCGGCATCGCAAGGTCGTGGTTTCAGGTTTCTCTTTACAACTGCTTAAAGGAGCTACGTCACGGTTGGCGCATTCGAAATCCGTCTTAATCTTCTCCATCCTCAACCATCCTTGTTCCTGTTTGGTTTATTATTACCTCTTTGGTGTTTTTCTTCCTTACTAAACTGTTATTTTGAGGCTTTTTTCAGTTTGAAGGTGATTTTGCACTTAACAAAAAAAATGACTTAAAATATCGTGACATAGCTCCTTTAAGTTGTAAATCTTTAACTGCGATGATCTACGCTCGTAATATCTTTCTCCCGCAGTTCAATACTATGATTTTTCATATATTCTCAATCAAAGACGAGTTATATCCGATGAAACGATAAATTTCCTTTAAATCGTTTGTTGATCTTTCTTAACGTGCTCAATGTTGTCTGTTACATCGTTTTAAAGTTAACTTTCATGTATTGGAGAAGGTACCAGAAACGGATGAGGGAATCTGGCTTCCTACACTTGAAACTCCGGCGTCGAGCGCGCCAAGCGCGGGAAAACGGCGTAAGCGAAGTCGCGTGATTATTTTGAATTTTGCTTCTGATTGGTTGAAAACAAAAAAGGTTTGCGCTGATTGGTTAGAACATGTTTCCCACCGCTACTGAATATTTAATTATACAGCGCTTAGTAAACGCAAAACCAACAAAAACACAATCTTTGAACACTTAAAAACTAATCTATCGTCACTGTAGTGATTTACAGTCATTTCAAAACTGCTATGAAGTACGAAATTGCACTCACCACATAACGTAAACTCGTCGTAGTAATAATCGTTAATACCGCGGCTACTAAAGACGCCGCAAAAGTTGTTTGATCGACAGCGGTCATCACCGTCATCATGATTTACAGTTTTCCATTTGTATTGAATATTCAGACAGGTCCCGGATAAATCTCCCCTGCATCTCAAAGCAGAATACGTCGTATTAGAACCGTCTTCGTATAGAACGATTATTTCGCGGAACCAGTAAGCGCAGAATTCGTCATGATGGCGAAAGTAAATGAAGTTATCATTTTCCAATCGGATGCTGATGAGCTCGCCATTTCTGTAAAATTCTCTCATCGTTCTGGTATTTTCTCGGCGCACAAACCTAACTGGTTCTGCGCGAACGTGGATGAATGGGGTTACCGCATATTCTCTTGAAGTTTCCTGAGGAAAAAAAAAAAAAGAGCAATCCCTCAATTTACTGGACAAACGTTATTTCTTTCTTGCACGCAAAGAGTCACGATTAAAGGAGCAGTGTCATCAATATTTAGTACTACAGAAGTGTTTGTATCAGTGGAAATCCACTAACAGAACAACAACAACAACAACAACAACAATAACCTTTATTTTACCCCAGAGTCTAATATAAGTAGTTTACAATTTCAGTTGAATAAAAAAATAATAGGGGTACTGGCTACCCGAAATAACCTTAAAGTTAAAAATGCCAGGCAGCCAGTTAATAGAAAATATATTTTACATGTTGAGGTCGGGCACACAAACAAACAAAGATACATACATGCAAAAATAAGAGTAAACAGAGTTAAGCTAACTATCAGTAAACTAATATAATAATAAATAATTGGTAACAGTAATTTTTTTGGTAAAAAAAAATGTTGTTGTTGTTGTTGTTGTTGTTGTTGCTGGTTGACTTTCTTGAAATTGTCCTTCTATTGTTTTTTGTTCTTTTTTAATGAAAAACATGTGGATTGGTACTGCGGCAAATTTCAAAATATTTCATATACTATAATGTAGATTACTGTTCCGGAACTACACGGAAAAGAGAGTTTTTATTTCTGATAAAACATGGGTTTTAGCCAATAAGAGCGCGTACAGCATTCAGTATATATTTTAAAACAAAATACATTCTTAATACCTGGTCGGTGGATGGCGGTTTCCACATTACAACTTTGATAAACACAAGAACACCAAGCCAGGCGAAACACAGTAAAGTGTCAAAAAGTGTTATTTCATATGATGAGTCGCTACTCCAATCATAATCTGCGAAAAAATAAACAACAACAAGATTACAAAAAGATACCAAATACAACATCAAAGGTAGTTACGGTAATTTAAAAAACTTCTTTATATAAAAGCCTTATACGGTCGAACCCCTATTAAACGGCCACCCTCGGGGAAATGGCAAGTGACCGCTTAATAGGGGTTGGCCGCTCAATTCGGGTTCGTCATAATTAATATAAGGCGTGCTAAAAAAATCAAAAGATTAGTGACAACGGAATCACGTCAAGACGATAATAAACGTGTGTTTGAATGCCGGTTTTTATCAGTCGTCACCTTTTACTTCGGACTCTTGTCTGTCATCAGCTTTTTCAAAACAGTAAGACCAAAACTACGTGTTGGTGTCCGCTTAATAGGAGTTTTTATTTACAGTATTACACTGACGATAGTTTTGTGGCTTTGATAACTGGCCGCTTAATAGGGGGTGGCAGCTTAATAGGTGGCGTCAGGAGATTCACTTCAAGTGAATCAAGTGAACGTCCTAAATATTTCTCACGACGCAAAATTATACTATACTGATAAGCAGGAACCGCGGCTCGTCCAATAAGTAAATCCACTCGTAAGCGACCACCTCCCATAAACGGT